TAGGGAAACCACACACAGGGGCATATTCATTTCGATGACCTACGTAGTCACGGAGTAGAACCAAATGCCTTAACGCAGCAATGCACATTAACACACCACACTTAACAACAGCCTGGCCTCAAATGATTCTTCCAGCGGGCCATTTCCTCTAAGTGCAAAATCAGCCACCTGTCTTCCATTCCCTCTGAAGCAATGTTTATGCCCCTGGAACCAGTTAGCCACCCGTAAAGCTCACAAAGACTCGTGTGAGCTACTTATTTTTATTCCCATTTTGCAGAGAGAGGAACTGAGCTCTAAACAAGCTATGTTCTTTCAAGAGGAGTCCCATGTCCAGTCGTCAGCCCCCTCACACTAGCATTCTCCATTCTCTGACCTACAGAGGGGCCTCCGTCTATGGCACGCAACCCGGGGCATTTTCCCAAGTCAATGACCTAGACATCATACGACACAAAGTCTGACAGTAGGGCAGACTATATGAGATGACCTGGGATAAGTTTAATTTTAGAAACATGTTTGGAGAATTCGGAAAAACTTCAGTGACTGGAGAAAAACGGGAGCTGAACCAGTAACGTCTCCTGGAAAAAAACAAGCTCAGTCTTTAGTCTTACAGATGGAAACAAGGCTGACACGTGGCTGCCCCATCAATGTGTCTGAGTAAGGACCCTGGTCCTGATGTTGGGCCTGTCACCTAAGCTCTCAGATTCCACTGTGCCCTGGGTGCCCCCAGAGAACCAGGAGAGGCTGAGAGTAGCAGAGAAAGGAGGTCCAAGAAGCCTGTCCTAAAGTGCAGGGAAGGACTTGTGAAGAAGTCCAAGTTCCCCATCACAACCACCTGCACACACGCCCCACTACAGGAGCTTGGGAGAGAAGGTCGGGCTGGGTAGATAATGCCAAGGACCATGGTTTTTTAAAAGGAGAAATAGTTTTGCCATGCAAGGCATCATGCTGCTAGTCCCCAATTCGTGTTAAATTTTTCACCTTTGTATTATTAGCTCAATGTAAGTCACCTTCACCCCCACAAGCCAACCCTTTTTCTTTTTTAATTTTTTAAGAGAGATTTTTGCTGTAAGGCACATGTGCTAGCCAGAGAGACAGAGACAGAGAAAGTGAGAAATCTCTCCCAGCAGGGATGGCCACACTGCAGTCCCTTCTCCTTCATTCTCCTCTCAGGATTTTGGGCATTCACACGCACACACACCCGACATGAGTTTTAAGCCACCGGGTCCAGGAATCAAATCATGGTGACTACGTGGGAGTCCAGAGATGTAACCATTATGCCATCTGCTGGTCCCAACCCTTTTTCTTATTTGATTTGAATGTGGATTAGAAAGAGACAGGCTGACATATATCAGACGACGATCTGGCCAGGTGTATTAACTGGGATGACCCTCAGGCCACAGGTGGTGAGCAGCCTCACTCTGACACTGTACCGTGCACACAGATCCCCCTGGGCGCCTTGTTACTACAATCCTCAGGGCGGGGGCTGATTTCTCCATTTCTAACGAGCGCCCAGTGATACCCTGGTGCTGGCCCAAAAGCCACACTGAGAGTAGCGAAGACTTAGAGGGGAGGACATGGGCTCTGGACACACAGAGACTCTGGTTGGAATCTCCTCTCTCTCGTTTTTTTTTTTTTTTCCCCCCACATTTTTCTATAGAGTGTATGTGCTCACTAGAGACAGAAAGAGAAAATGAAAAATCACCCCCTGGTGAATAGCCATGCTGCAATCCCTTCTACTTCATTCTCCTCTTGGGACTTTGGGCACACAAGCATGCACATGTGCCTGGTGTGTTTTTCAAGCTTCTGGGCCTGAAACTCAAACTGCAAAGTCAGCCCTGTGGAAGCCAGCACCTCAGCCACCACACCACGGGCTGGCCTTCCATTTCTACTTCTTACTAACTCTGCTGTGATCTAACCAATGTGGGATTCCTTACCTGTAAAATCAGGTAAATAGGACCAGCCCATAGTGCAGCAGTTAGCATTGAATTGACAAAGCAGGATCTCACATGGCTGACTAGAGTTCAAGTCCTGACCCCTAGCAGCTTGAAAAAAAAATTCATGCTGGGCACGCAAGTAGATGCCTGGGATCCCAAGAAGATGGAGAAGTGGAGGAAAAAAAGGATTGCAACGTGACCAGACCTCTTCGGGGAGTCTATCTTTTTCTTTTTTTAAGTTTTTTTTCTTTCTCTCTCACATCCCCTTTCTCTCTCATGGGTGTATATGTGCCCTCCAGTATTAAAAATAAGATCAAGTAAATACTTGCCTCACATAGTAGTCAAGCGGGTTACAGGTAAGTATAGAGCATCCCTAGAAGGTAACAATGTCTCAATAAGCAGCTATTATTATATCAACTATTGTGTTATTAAGGAGTCAGCTGACACACACCCTCCCCAAGTGGCCCATGGCTTTAGAAATTATCAAAGTATAGGGACCAGCAGTTAACGTAATGGCTATGTCACTGGACTCCCATGTAGTCGACTGCAGTTCACGTCCCGGACCCGGTGGCTTAAACTCACGCCGGGCGCGTGTGCATGCGTGCCCAAGATCCTGAGAGGAAAATGGAGGAGAAGGGATTGCGACGTGGCCATCCCCCCTGGGGGGGGATTTCTCCCTTTCTGTCTCTCTGTCTCTCTCTGTCTGACTGGCAAGCTTACGCGCCCTATAGCAAAAACCTCTCCAAAAAGAAAAAAAAAAAAGAAAAAAAGAAATGACCACAGTACAGTCTTAGAACAAGGGGAGCATGTAGTTTGGACTGCCTAATCATGCAAGTAAGACCTATTATCTTTGTTCATCTTTTCTTTTTTAATTTGCCAGAAGGCACGTGCACTCACCACAGAGAGAGACAGAGAGACAGGGAGAGAGAAAAAGCACTCCCACTAGGGCATGGCCATGCCCCAATCTCTTCTCCATTTCTCCACTCTGTTAGGATTTGGGGCACACACATCTACACGTCCAGGATTTGAACCACATGGTGGGCCACATGGGATCTGGTTCCCTTAACCCCCAGGCTGTGGAGTCAGACCATAGTCTTTTTCTGATCACCAATGCATTTCATGCCCACTGCAGAATATTCGGGAAGCGCGATGAAAGAATAAAATGTACACCCTCCACAGCCACAACCAGAGTCGGGCCTCTAACATTTTGGTTCCCACTGGCGAGTCTCTCCCGACACGGCCGCACAGATGCGGATACAAAGGCAGTTAAGATCGTACCTTGATGACCAATTTCCTGCTGTGTCCCCTTACTATTTATTATACTGTGAGCATGTTCCATTTCATTGAATGCGTTTTGAAAACATCCTGTTTAGGGCCTGCACGGCATTCCAACGCCAGGACGCTGGCTTACTTGTTGGGGCGAGGAGTACTTTCTCCCTGTCCCCCCTTGTGAATGAGCCAAGTGAATGTTCCGGGAGCAAAGGCAGAGGAGGACAGGGGCCCACCTGGGGGACACCCTGGCAGCACACGTTCTCCCCAGCTGAGCTGAATAGCCCGAGGAACCTGGAAACGTCTAATAGGAGACGTTTGTGGGCCTTGTCTTCACTAAACGCTTTTTTGCACTTCATACACACAACACAGTTACATGTGCCCTGCAGCCTAGCCCAGGAGTGCATGCTAGATCCTGCTGCCCAGGAGGCCGAGGCCACATGACAGCCCGGGTTTGATTCCCAGCCCACCCTAAAGAGCCAGCTGGGTTGGGGTACACCTGTGGTCCCAGCTACTTGGCAGGAGGGTTATGACATAATGAGATCCTGCCAGCAAACAAACAAGACACCTCTCTCTCTCTCCTTCACATACACACACACGCACACACACACACTTGCACTAAGTGTACACTCGATCGAATTTCCTATCTTAACTGTCCCCTGCCTACACAATTCATTTGCCCTGATGTACCCAGCCTCCGGACGTCGCCTTGTCCCAGAGCCATAGTGAACGCGTGGCGTGGGCTAGCGTTACCTCGGTGGCGTGTCACCCCGCGGACAGGCTGGACAAGGTGGGTGGTTGTAACCTGGGGTGTCAGTGCAGCCCATATCATGGCTGTACGGGATCCCAAAGTAGTAGTCGAAGCCTGGAACAGAGGCAGCTGGTTAGCCACACGTGGCTGCTGTCCACGCACCGGCCTTCTTACACCAAGACAAAAATTTCATGTCCTATGATTTAATATCGCAGTGTTATGAAGTATGTAATTAAAAGAGGATTTGATGAATAGCCTTTTGTAGTATGCCAAGAAATCACTTTGCTGGGTTCTGGCTGTAAGACTAGATTTGCAAAACATCTTGTGATTAGAGTTAACTCAGATTGGGAGGCAGTGGAGAGAATTACTGAACACCAAGCATCGTCAGTGAAATTATGGATACATTCACATATTAGGTGAAAATCCACCACATGCATGATACTTGATGTCGTAAAAATAAATCCTGCCCTCCAAAGACATTCTATCTGAAGGGAAAATGGGATATACAGGTTAAGCCATAAAAGATGGAAAGATGGGAGCCAGCAGGTGCCATGGTGGTTAAGGCACTGGACACTCACAACACTGGGTCCTGGACCCGATGGCTTGAAACGCATACTAGGCACATGTGCATGAGTGCCCTAAATCCTGCAAGGAGAAAGGAAAAGGGATTGTGGCATGGCCATAACCCCTGGGGGGGGGTGATTTCTCACTTTCCTTCTCACTATCTCTTTCTGTCGGTCTTTGGCAACTACAAGCACCCTATTACAGGGTGGGGGGCGGCGAGGGAAGCAGGGAGGGAAGATGAGCCAATAAGAGCGATCAGAGGAAGAAGTTTCTCCAGATAAACAGGATGGGTTGGTGTTGGGGCAAGAATCTTAAAACACTTCTTGAAAGATGGAGGACTTCATCTGACACTCAGAAAGCCAGTAGGTCTTGGTCTTGGGGTGGTGGGAGGAAGACAAGGGAAGGAAGAAGGTGAGCACTAACCAAGGTTTTTCCTAAGATCCTCCCTCAGCCCGTTTCTTCTCCAACCTGAATTTCTACACCAAGGATATAGATCCACACGCAACTAGAATGTTCACTTTCTCGAGGAAAAAGAAACCTCTTCCAGTCGGGCTACCTACATCAACTTGCCCTGAGGTAGTGCTGTAGTCTGAATCTGCCTCTCTAAGAACAAATCCACGTGCTGAGCCACTATGATGGGATGAAGGCAGTGACGACTGGATCCAGTTAAGGTGTTGAAGGTAAGGCTTTGGCGACAAGACAGTGACGGGTGGTTAGAGAAGCACCCCATGATTGAGTTCTGGTGGGTTTATAAGCAGAGGAAATGAGGCAGGCAGAGGCTCACATGGAGCATAGACCAAGAGACCACCGTCCGCTCTGATTCTGTCTGCCATATTGCAATGCAGCTGGCCTGAGGCCACCCTCACACCTTGGGACCTTCCAGCCACCGGAACTGTGAGTCAAATAAATCCCCAATCGTTACCATTCATCCAGTCTCGTGGATCTCAGTGACATAAGAGTGGACTAACACAGGTAGACAGAACTTGAATCTCCCAGGTCAGCGAGTGGCGTGGTGGTTGGGGCACTGGACTTCCACATGGCTGACTGTAGTTTGAGTCCCTGACCTGGCAGCTTGCTTTTTCACTTTCTCTCTCTCTCTCTCTCTCTGTGTGTGTGTGTGTGTGTGTGTGTGTGCGTCTGGTGAGTGCATGTGCCCTATATCGAATTAGAAAACAATAATAAATAAAATGAAATAAATAACTCCTAAAAACAAAAACAAAACTTAAATCTCCCAAAGAATTGCTATTTCTCCGTGGCCTCAGATTCCAGAACCATAGAAGAGGGAGAACGGTGTTTATGGTTTCATCTCCTGCCCCTCCACGTGCTTCTCAGCCAGCTCTTCTCATTTTCTGAACTCACTAGGTCACCTGCAGTTCCCCACACACCTTGGTGGCTCTGCCTGGAATCCCCGACTCTATGTCTCAGGCAGGTGAAACTACATTAGAACGTCCCACACAGTTCCAGTGTGCAGATTCCAACAGAATTTCCCTACGCCTCACTGCATCCCGCCCCCACCCTCCGTGCCACTCATATCCCTCGTACAGCTTATAAATGCTCTATCGTGGGTGACACAGGGCTTCCCCACTGGTGTGCAGTCCTTGAGCTAAGACATGGGGTCTTTATCGACACAGCATATGAGATATATACTGGCGAGTAAGTGTAGTAAGAAAAAAAAAATGATGCCTCTGTGCTAACCAGTTTGTGCAGATAGATTTGGATACCCCACAGGGAAGGACACAGCTCTGAAACATTACTGCACTTGGTGTCGGGATGAGTTTACAGCGGGGCTGACATGTTTTTATGGAAAGGGCCAGTTAGTAAATATTTTGGGTTTTGCATGCCAGATGGTCTCAGCCGAGGCTACTCAGTTTTGCCACCACAGCATCAGTGCACCTGCAAACCTTATGTACACACATGAGCATGGCTGTTTTCTAATAAAACTTTATTTACAAAAACGGGCAGTAGGCCAGCTCCACAACACAATGGTTAAGCACTGCACAGAGGAAGCCAGATCCTGCATAGCTGACCAGGGTTCTAGTCCCCACCTGGGGGGTTGACAAACACACCATGTGCACACACACATGCCCAAGACCTCGATGGGATGGGGAACTGGAGGAAGGAGGACAGCAGGGTGAGCAGGCCCCATTGTGGTATTCGCTCTTGCTCTCTCTCTCTAAAAACAAATAAAAATAAAACACATATACAGGTGGAATCCTGGAGTTGGCCCCCAGGTCTTTACCACCCTCTGGTCTAGACCAAAGGTGTCCTCAGATTCCAGAATTAGAAAGAGGCCTCACTGTGTTTCCAGGAGACCAGAGCTGGGAAACAAGCAAGGGCAGCCTGGGAGTCTGGCTGCCTGGAGGAGGGCGTGGCTGTGTTTGGCTAGATCTAGGGCAAGATTGCAGAGGGTGCCATGAGGCCAGTGGGAAACCAGTGTGGGAAGCCCTAGAGCAAATGCAGAGGCAGGAGGGAATAGGTGTGACCGTGGAGAGAGGAATCAAGAAACCTGAGTGTTCATGCCATGAAGGCTTTCAAGACTGTCTGGTCCAAGACCCTGAACATACAGGACGAGATCTCCCTTCCCACTTCCACTCCCAAGGCAGATACCATGAATCCATCATGGCGCCAAGTCCTCCGAGCAGGGCTCAGTCTCCGTCATCCTCAGCACAAGATCCTGGGAATACACACTCCAGGTGTCAACACGCTGGCTAGTCCAACCCCTCATTTATCAAGTGTGAGCACTGAGGTCCAGGGAGGAAAAGTAGGTCCTGCAGCCAGGTCTTCCCTTCCCCCAGCTGCCACATCTTCAAAAGCACCTATATCTTCAAAAGCACCTACGGAAGGTGCCACGAGGGATCTTGTGGGAAATGGGTGTGAGGGGAGAGGGGGAAATGAACATGAAAGGGGAAGCAGGAGCCAAAGAGGATGTTAGCCAGTGAGGCCAGTGACCACTGAGGGGCCCCGCTGAAGGCCAGATCCAGTTCTCTGTCAATTCCCAAAGTCAAAAGCCTTCATAGGTATACCTTCTACCACGTCTGGGACAGAACAACGTGCCCTTCTCCAAGGACATGGGGGAGATACTGGGACAGGGGAGGAGAGAAGTCTGCAAAACAGACAATTGCACTGAGGGAGGAAGCCACTCGTTTGCTTATAAAACAGCAGAAGAGGGAAAGGACGCATATGTGAGGCCAGGGATGATGGGGGGAAACACGGGAGAGAATAGTAAGTTGCTTTTAAAAGAAGGTCCATGTTTCTGTCTCCCTGTCTCTGTCTCTCCAGCGAGCGCACGTGCCCCAAATTCAGCCAAATGATCTTGTGAATAAAGTGTTCTAATGTAAGGAGGGCTTAAATGTCAACGGAGTCCTCTGACACTGAGATCTTTATTTTGTTTCCCAAGTAGCAAATCCCCTAAAGAATTCTTACCGCGGAAGTTGGGATGATAGGCGCCATGGTGCCCAAGATGCCATTTGCCTGTAGAAAAACAAGAGAGAGGTTTTCAGAGGGACGTCCGTGGGGGCCCCCAGGCCTCCTGGGGAGCTGATCACACACTCTGCCCTCCATTAGCTTCGCTCTGTACAAGGACAGACACAGAGACGCTGCAGACGCAGTGGGGAAGCCAGCCTTGTCCTCTGGGACCGAGGGGGCATCCCCAGAGAGACAGGCAGCCAGCAAGGATGACTCAGGACCCACACTGGAAACCCACAGGGAAATGGGGAGACGGCATCACCAGGAGCCTGGAGAAGCCAGCTGGTCGAACTTCTGCCCCTCAAAGGGGGTTCAGCA